TGAATGGATATAATCCAAAGTACCTTTAGTCTGATGCACTGTCGTACTGAAGCTGACTCTTTTCCGCTTCCCAAAGATGCAATGCTCGCAGAATCCTAATATTCCTGTACTCTGTCCACATAAAAGACCATTCTTACTCAACTCGGTCAATCCTCATTCACTCATATGACCAAGTCATATGCCATAATTTAGTAGTATCAACTTCTGACATCGACGATGCAACTACGGCCGAGCCGGTAATGGTAGAACACTACAAAACATACAAGCTGTTGATCTTCTTTCTTTTCATAACCACAAGAGAGCCTTTTGTAACCCTAAGAACTCCATCTTCACCTAAAAAATTGTACCCAATGCTATCAAGAGTGTCCAAAGAGATGAGATTCTTCCTTAAACCTAGAACATGCCTAACATCTGTCAAAGTCCTGATGACTCCATCATGCATCTTTATCCGAATTATGCCTTTCTTAATAGTCTTGTATGAGGCGTTGTTCCCCATACGAACAACTCCACCATCAATAGCTTCATAAGTAGTGAACCAGTCCCGATTAAGACACATATGATAGGAACAAACCGAATCCAAAATCCAATCATCCATACTCATGTTTATATTATCTATAGCCAACAAAATCACATCTTCAGCAATATCAACTTTAGCGAAGTCCTCCTTTGATTTTTCTTCATACTCTTCTTGTTTATTTTTTGTTATTTAATCTGTAACTATCGGTCTTGATGTGCCTTTTTTTCTTGCAATATCTGTAGGCCAGATTCCTATGCTTCGACTTATACCTGTTACCTCCAAAGCCCCTTTCTTTCGATCTTTCTCGAACAAACAAGCCATCAACTTTATCGTCACATTCACTTGTGGTTAACTCTTTGTCGATCATCTACTTATTCAATAACTCCTCTTTGACGTTCTTGATACCAATAGAATCTCGACCATAAATCATAGTATCCCTGAAGTGCTTGTAGGAAGGCGGTAAAGAATACAATAATAATAGAGTTTAATCTTCATCATCGATCTTAACATCAATCTTACTCAAAATCTATAATCACAAAATTAAATTCACCAATATAAAATTTGATGGGTGTTCCTTCCGACATCCGAAGTGTGTACAAACACTGCTTCAAGAGGAGGCGATTAGTGAGCGACTTCGTCAAATACAAATCCTCTAATTTAGACCACAAATCAGTGGCTGTTTTTTCCGTGAGAACTTTTTGCAAAACTTCATCTATCAAATATAATTGGATCGCTATGAGAGCTCTATCATCCAACTCATTCCAATCTTCCTTCGCCATAGTTGTCGGTTTCTTTTGTTTCCCGAACAAAGCCTTCTTCAATCCACTCTGTGTCAATATGGCGATCATCCTAACTTGCATAAGGCTGAAACAGATGTTGCCGTCAGACTTCTTAATACCCCACTTCGTAGTAGTTATCATCATCTTCTTGTCCGATCGATAGCTGAGGGTTCTGATACCAATTTGTTATGACAAACTCCTCAGGATAAGCTAATATCAATCACACGAGAGCACAAAAAATATCAAGAACACACGAACACAAAGAAATATGTGGTTCAGCTTGTAGCCTACGTCCACGGGCAAAGGAGGAGAAAAGCTTTATTAATTGTGAGGAATACAAAGTGGAATTTCTCAATCTCTTAATCCCGAATAACTGTAATACCCCAACCCTTGAGAGGGTGATGTAATTAGTATTGATAGATTTGATTGGAATACTCATACCACCAAGATGCATCTTCTTTTCGAAACCCAACTCTTAGAAACTCCAAAGTTAAGCGTGCTTGGCCTGGAGAAATTCTAGGATGTGTGACCTCCTGGGAAGTTTTCCAGGGAACGCGTGAGTAAGGACAAAACGTGCTGAAAAGACATGTGGTGGTTTGTGAGGCCAGTCTATCAGATCTAATAGCGTACCGCCTGTCTGACGGGTGTTTGCCGTCGCTGTTGGTTAGTTCTCCCAGCGGGGAGAACGTCACCGTGGGTTGTAGCATTGTGGTTTGCGCCGGAGTGAACCGGCGCTTCCTCCGAGGTAGGTGTCTGTGTGGACCGCTTGGCGATCCATCTGGCAGACCCTTGCCTCTTGCGCTCGATCTCTGGCTTGGCCTTGATCGATCGCGAGGGAGTGGGCTCCTCCGATGAGACTCGGTTGGAACCCTCAGGTGCGGAGGCTTTGACCGTCTGAGGTCGGATTAGTATTGATAGATTTGATTGGAATACTCATACCACCAAGATGCATCTTTTTTTCGAAACCCAACTCTTAGAAACTCCAAAGTTAAACGTGCTTGGCCTGGAGAAATTCTAGGATGGGTGACCTCCTGGGAAGTTTTCCAGGGAGCGCGTGAGTGAGGACAAAACGTGCTGAAAAGACATGTGGTGGTTTGTGAGGCCAGTCCATCAGATCTAATAGCGTACCGACTCCGAGATTCCGGCGTTACAATAACACCCCAAAAGCCTAATACAACTCTTAACTAAAGGAATAAAAGAGAAGAATATCAAATAGGCTTCATAAAAAAACTCTTTCTTCTTGATTGGTGCTCTGAAGATTGATGCATCTAATTGAGTTGAAAGACTGTTCTTATATAGCCTTGAAGATTCCAGCTCTTTGTTGTCTAAGGAATAAGAGTTCTAATAGGAATAAAAGTCCACATGTCATAAAACCTAAGAAGAGTCCAAGTAGAAATAAACCTCTAATATGATTGGTTGTGCAAAGTCTAATGTAAGTAGGACTCTTGATCAAAACAAACCAACCTAAAAAAGAACTCCCAAAGCAATATGGATTTGAGTATTTGAGGCAACCTATAACAAAATGTAATCCAAAGTAAATTTGAATTATTATATTATTTGGACTGACATGAAACAGAAATTATCATGAGAAAATATAGTGTTGTGAAAACACTTCAAAAAATAGCCTTATAAAAGGAAGATGAGTAATTAAAGCTAATAAGACAAGACGATTGTTTAAAACTAGGCTAAACTAACACAAAAGAGAATACAGAGTTTGTTCCTAGTCCTTGATAGGCTTTAAAAAAATTATAAACTAACATTAATCCTAACTCTAGTACATTTCTATATGGTGAAAGCACCCACATAAACATATTAAAAGTATAAAAAAGTTCATGAAAATACGTTTTAAAAATTCCTAATTTACGCAACGATAAAATATTCTAAAAAAATATTTAGAAAACAATATCTTTCATTTCTTCTATTCTATTTTTTATTGAGCCAAAAGAGATAGTAAACCTTAAATTAGAAGTTGAATTTATATAATTTAATGAAAGAATATAAAACAACTACCATTTTCTTTGCTAATTTTAGAAAATTTAGTTTTTTTGTGATTTTGAATTTTTGAGGGTGTGTTTTGCAAAATTTGAAACTATAGGAGTATTTTTTTTTAAATTTTAAATTTTAAGTTGGATGTTTGTAATTTTCATGTTTAATGTCTTTATGGTAAATTTTCGAATGTCAGGATATGTCTTGCAACTTTGAATTTTTGAGGGCGTTTTTTATAATTATTGAAACTTTGGATTGTTTATGGTAAAATTTGTTTTTAGCGGTCTGTTGATAATTTTTAAATTTGATATGTACCGATTATAAGTTTTGAAATATTAGAGTTTGTTGTTATTTTAACTTTTGAAGGAATTTTTCATAATTTTTATAACTTTGAAGTTATTTTTTATAAATTTTAAAATTTTAAGTTCTTGATCTTAATCCATTGAATTCACATTTGTTATTTGCAAGTTTTGAAAAAAAATTTAAGGGTGCTTTTTTATTATTTAAACTTTTGAGAGTATTTCTACAATTTAAAAAAATGTTGAGGGTGTTAATTATAAATATTGAATTCTTTGGAGGTTGCTGTTAATTTTTAAATTTTATGTTTGTTATTTTAAGTTTTAAAACATGTCAAAATGTTTTGTGTAATTTTAAAATTTTGAGGGTATTTCATGTAACTTATGAATTTTTTGGGCTTTTTGTAATACTTCATATATTGTAGCATGTTAGTTCTTTACTTTAACAAACTAATATTGATGAGCTATTTCATGTATTAGTCTTTTTTTTAAATTGTTGACTTATTGGTAGTTCACATGAAATTAGGATATGATATAATTATGATTATGATAAATTGATATTTAAATAAATATTCAAAATAATGAATGACAATGTTGACCATGTAAAGTTTTTCCCAAACTCGCACTTTTAATGAAAGTATGAAGTATGATATGATATGATATGATATGTTATGAAGTATGAGTGGATGAAACTTGATACCAAGCACAAGTTTTTGTGCTTTGATAGTGAGGTGATTTATTCCCATCCACTTGTTCAAATAGGAGACCACATTCATATGGGTTAAAAAGTGCATGAAAACTAGACATCTTACTATAAAGCACAAAAATTTATGCTTAGTACAAAGTTTCTACATTTTTCATATATATATATATACAAATTTAAAAAAAATATTATTAAGATTTTTTTAATTTATCAACACAATAGCTTACAAAGTTTAAAACTATCACTAACATAATCTACGTAATGTATTGAATGCTAAAGTATCTTCAAGAAATTTAAAAAAAAAACATAACAAATAAATGTTTTCTGAAAAAAGGAAAAAAAAGACAAAGGAAAATCAAAACCGTGATAAACGGTATAGCTTTTACCACTTGTCACAAACACAGCCTCCCACAAAAATCAAGAATCCCGATCTTCTCCAAAATTGTAGGCCCAAAACATCGAAGGCCCATCAGTACGAAGCAGCGCAACAGCAGCAGCAAGTCAGATGAGTGAACATTAAGCAGATCCGTTATCATGCGCACCTCTCCGTTATGCTGTTTATTAAAACCCCTTCTCTTCCCTCTCCTCTTCGTCCACTCTCATGTACCCGCACGCGCGCGAGTGCATCGACGTGGAGGTCGGAGGATGACGTCATCACTCTCCACGTTCCGCATTCCCCAGTGGCGTGGCGGCGCCGGAGGCGATTACGATGAAGGAGCGGCGACAGCGAGGCCGAGGGAATCTCGTCCACGTCTCTGATTTCACGAGCGGTGAATTGACCTAATTTTTCTTTTTGTGCTATTTATAGAATTAGATAGAGTAGGTTTTGTTTTCGAAAATGTTCTTGATCTGCTACATAATTTTATCAGGATGAGTTTCTATGAGGCAATTTAAGTTGAAACCAATCTTGGAAAAGATAAATGCTAGTCTATATAAAGTTAGATTGAGATTTTGTTGGGGATCAAAAGATAGAAACTTGGTTGATATTGTATGGAAATGTGCAATGGGAAGCAGTTGTGCACTAGTTAGGACTCATGAGCTGTACAGAATCTTAGTTGACCGAGCAAAGAAAGCTAATGGCAAACCAAAATGAAAGTTCAGTGAAACACGAAATACTAGTACCATAAAATATAGCTATTAGAGGCAATTTAGTTTTCATTGTGCAGAGAAGGATATAACCATACCGTGCACAGATATACTCAACAATTAACAGTTACTTAATTTAGAACCGACACAATTGGATCTGCGACACCAATTAGGGGGGAAAGCCCTAAAGATGATAACTGATCCCTAAAGGCGATCATTGTTTCCAATCCCTTCTGCTCAGTAGTCAACAATGTAACGAGGCAGTGAAGTATGCTTCGTCGTTATTGAATTCTGCTTGAAATTCATTATTCTCTACAATCAAAACAGGGATTCAAGTTTCCTCCCACCTTTGTCATAGGGGCTGATGAAAAGATGGTCCAATTGTGTGTTCCTTTATGCACCCTGATATCCAATTTATGGATTATATATAAACTACAACTTTGGTTTAGCTTTTTATATGAAAATACAAAGAGTCGAGAGGAGAACACTAACTACCGACTTTTTGTTGCAGGCAGTTCAGCGTCTAGAAATCAGGCAGTTTTGGATAAAGGAGATTCGCTCGCAACAGATGAGGGGAATGCTTATACCTCTAGTATAAATCTTTCGCAGAAGAGCAAGTCTAGGATGAGCCCATTGAAATGTTTTGGGGTAGAACTTTCACCTGACAACATGGCAGTTGCTATTGTATATTTTGTTCAGGGAGTCTTAGGGCTTGCTAGGCTTGCTGTGAGCTTCTACTTGAAGGACGACCTTCATCTTGATCCAGCAGAGGTGTCTCATATACTTCTTTTGTTAACAGACACGTTACATATATAAATTTGCATTATATTTTGCCATGCTTGACAAATGACTAGTACAGGTTGATGTATCTTCTTCAATCAAAGGAACTGATGGATCTTTTGATTTTTTTAGACAGCAGTCGTATCCGGATTTTCTTCCTTGCCGTGGCTGATAAAACCTGTTTATGGGTTTATCAGGTCTAGTGATCTCCATATGTTTGTCGTCTTCACATTGTATCTTTTCTATTGCTTATTTGAAGTTCTTCTGATGACAGTGACTCTATCCCGCTTTTTGGTTATCGGAGAAGGTCATATCTTATTCTCTCTGGGCTTCTTGGAGCACTTTCGTGGTGTTTGATGGCCACTTTTGTTGACAGCAAATATAGTGCAACATTTTGTATACTTCTTGGGTCTCTTTCAGTTGCCTTCTCAGATGTTGTAAGTGCCACTGTTTAAACTTTTGTTGAAGTTCCATTCTACTTGCCATTATTTGCCTCTGTTATCATATCATTTCTGATTACACATATATTGTTGAAGGTGACACTGGGTTCATTTTTGTAGACTAGAACAGGGAAAATGCCTTAAACAATCTTGTCAGAAGTAGTAACGAACTAGTCCTTTTACTGACATTGACAGTATAACTATGCCTTGTTGCTTGATTGCTTTTTTTTGGACTGTTCAAGCCGTCTCATGGTGAGCAAAAGTGATCTAACAATCATCTCATAGTCTCCCTTTATTGATTTGCATGTGAGTTACGGAACTGCTTCACCAGCAGGGCACATTCATTATAAATATGAGTTAGAACCTGTTCCTAACATTGACTGCATTTAGGCTGCTTGCCGCTAAGGGTGTATGTGGCATATGGAATTTCAAGAGGAAGAAAGAAAGCAGAAATTCNTGCAAAAATTAAAGGAAGTTCAAATTCCATATTAGTCTATTTGTTTGGCAAATAAAAAGTGAAGGAACTTGAAGTTTGTGAGGAGCCGAGGAAGCGATGCAATTGTTTATTACTCATTTCAAGGTTCAGAGATAAACTTGAGAATTAAGTAATATATAATCCATGACTTTCCTCTAGAGAGTTTTTTTGGGGAGGTTATCTTATGTAGCACGTGGATCTTACAGGATGTAGAGTTTTCAATTCTTTTTTCATACTTAATGTATCTAACATGGAATCTAGAGAAATTTGAGTAATTAGTACCTGATTTCCCTAAACTCACCTCCACATTTCATATGCGAAAACACCACCACCAACCTGTTCTGGGAGCACTGTGGTTAGTGATAATTTTTGCTCCTTATACATTCTGGTCAACTTTCAGCACCACTCATAATGATATTAGCTAACATCCTTAGATATGGCATAGGTTGTAGATTCTATGGTTGTCGAAAGGGCTCGTGGTGAGTCACAGAGCACGTCTGGATCTCTGCAGTCTTTATGTTGGGGATCTTCAGCATTTGGGGGAATAGTCAGTGCATACTTCAGTGGTTCTTTAGTGGATGCTTATGGTGTGCGGTGAGTAACTTGACCTGGAATTAGGATGGGCATGATAGCATTGCTCTAAGATTGATCCCTTTTGTTATATCTATAATCTGCAGGTTTGTTTTTGGTGTAACAGCCTTGCTTCCCTTAATGACCTCAGCAGTTGCTGTCCTTGTCAAGGAACAAGCAGTACTTCCTTCCAGAGTGCATAATCTGACAATTTCAAGTTCAAGTTTTATTGAAAGCACAAAGCAACATATAATGCAGTTATGGGTTGCTGTCAGGCAGCCTGACATCTTTTTTCCCACATTGTTTATATTCTTGTGGCAAGCAACACCACATTCGGAGTCAGCCATGTTTTACTTTACGTATGCTTCTACTAGATTTCTATTACTTGCTTATTTCATACAAATTTACTCACTTAAGTATTTTAATTTCTTAACCTGGGATTAATTGCAAAATATTTTCTCATAATTGAAAGTGTTAAGACTTAAGTGATCAGATATTTTCTTTTGCTGTGTTCTATAAATAGTTTATGAAAATCGAATTATTTTACAAATTTACTGGAGTATATAGTCTCATCATGCTAGCTTGCTCCTGTTTCTTCTCAAAGGCACCAGCGTAATGTTTGAATAATTTGAATTATGCTTTTAATATCTTGGGAATTGGAATCGTGCTTTCTATTATTGTTACTTGTCGCAAATGTTCAAGAGAAGAAAGATGATTCTACTGTCGGAGATGCAGTAGAATAGGTGCATACATGGTCTCTTAAGCTGCCTTTGGATAGTATCTGGTGGTTTAGTTAAGTGACCTACAGTCCATTTCTTTAGGTAGGTCTGGTATTTCTTTCTTCAATTGCTAGTTGTAGCAGACGAAAATGGACAGGAAAAAAGAGTCTTACAGGAAATTTCTCTGCTTAATGGTCTTTGTAGCTAAACATAGGATAGATAATTGAATAATGAGAAAATTTTCGGTTTATCTTCCTTAAATTGTTGGATTTAGTTGAATTAGGCCACGATTAGTGCACCTCTTAAGTATTTGATACTAGATATGCAAAAAGAAAAGGATAAAATCTGTTTAGATATTGATGTGCAAAAAGGCACTGGTTATACTTTTAATCATAAGTTAGCAAGATAGTTGATAGAAGCTATTTGGAGTAGTATATGTTGCTTGATATATACTACGTGTAAATATATGATCATATGATCATACATGAATATGGTGGTATTTCAGCGAAGAGGGTTTCCATGCATTTTATGCAATTTTATTTTATGGGATATAGATGTGAACCGTTCTTTCTTTCCCTTGTTAAAATAGTGTGAACTATGAATGGACTAGGTGTTGGTTTTGCTTTGCTAATTATTGATTTGTTATATGTATTACATATAACACGAGCATTATATAAACTTTCACAGTACAGGTGTTTTGATGTGTAAAATTGTATTTTTCTGGTGGTTTTTGCAGGACAAATAAACTTGGCTTCACTCCAGAATTTTTGGGGCGGGTAAAACTCGTTACTTCTATGGCATCCTTGATCGGTGTAGGGATCTACAATACATTTCTGAAGAATGTTCCATTGAGGAAAATTTTTCTCCTGACAACAATTTTAGGTTCGGCCTTGGGGATGACACAGGTTTTTCTTATTTATTTCTCATCTTTGTGTAGTGGTTTTTAGTTTCATGTGCAAAATATCTTAATTAATGTCTGGATTATGTGTGCAGGTTGCTCTTGTCACAGGATTGAATCGACAGTTTGGCATAAGTGACGAATGGTTTTCTATTGGAGACTCTTTAATTATAACTGTTCTCAGTCAGGTGAACGTCTCCTGAGCTTTAGAATCTGCTACTATCAATGGAATAAATTCCGATTTGTAGAAATTCGAGCTAAATAAACTGTTGACTGCCGGTAACTTTTGTTCTGACGAAGGAGGGAACGCATAAAACTTAATAACACCTGAGAAACCTTTCCAGTTTCTGAAGCAAGTTCTTTTATTTTCCTTTCTTGTTGCATAAAGTGGTAGCTGGAAAGAGCCATTTCATTAGTAAAACACAACTATTCGGTAATCAAATTCATAGCTCCTGCCCTCCACAAGTGGTCTAGTGGTTGGAGCTGGGGGCCTTGGCTCAAAAGGCCAAAGATCTATCTGTGTCTATGACATACATATCCCCAATTTTTAATTATTAGACATTACAACACTTGTGCTATTCTATGATGTACGGATACGGATACGAGACACGGATACGACACGGACACGGATATGGGATACGGCAAAATCCAAAAAAATAGGATACGGGGATATGGCTAGGAATTTTTTTTAAATTATTATTATATATAGAAAAAATTATAAAATTCAACTAACAATCTAAATTATGAATCTATCACAAAATAACAAGTTTGTAAACAAAAAAGAATTGGAGTACATACTTATTCTATCACAAAATAACAAGTTTGTAAACAAAAAAGAATTGGAGTACATACTCTACTCTTTCCATCACAAAATAATAAGTTTGTAAACAAAAAGGAATTGGAGTACATACTCTACTCATTCCATCACAAAATAACAAGTTTGTAAACAAAAAATATATCAAGATGAAGTGGAAGCGACCTGTATACTCACTAGTGTTGCATAGAACTCATATCATTCTAATTGTGCAAGAGACCTGTATACTCACTAGTGTAAAGATTAAATTTAAAATTGTGAACCATGCATATCTAGATTAATCCATAATTTAAGCATTCCCAGTCACTAGTTAAGATATTGAGAGAGAGACAGAGATATTGAGAAGTATCCAGATGGTATTTTACATCACCAGTCCCTGTATATAGCCCAACCTCATCAATAGGCTTCGTCACACCACCAAATTCACTAAATATCTGCCTCAATGGCTTCCTAACAACATCACCCAACACATTAAGCCTTCCTCAATGGCCAAGAAATTCTCAGACGGAGATATTGAGAGAGAACCAGAGAGATGAAGAGAGAGAGAAGAGAACTAGAGATATTGAGAGAGAGAAAGAGAGATAGCCGGAGATATTGAGAAAGAGAACCAGAGAGACGAAGAGAGAGAGAGAGAGAAGAGAACGAGCGGCGACGGTGGAGCTGCTGAATCGACCAGATCGAGAGAGAGAAGACAAGATCAAGATAGAGATCTTACCTAGCGAGAGAGAGACCAGAGAACGAGCGGCGTCGGAGAAGACGAGATCTGAGGAAGAGATCGAGCGGCGTTGGTGTCGGAGATCAAAGGATGAGATCGAGCAGCGTCGGCGTCGGAGATCAAGGACGAGCGGCGTCGGCGTCGGAGATCGAAGACGAGATCTGAGGAGTGAGGACGCGCTGAGAGAAGATGAGGACGAGCGGCGGTAAGTGATTTTAGGGTTTCGTTTTGGGTTTTTGGGTTTCGGTTACGGGTTTTGTTCACATTTTGTTCGGCGATTTTTTGGATTTGGTGAATCTCACCCGTATCCTCTCTACTTTTGACCGTGTCAGCCCTGTTTGACCATTGACCCGTGTCCGACGTGTCGTGCACGTGTCGAGGCGAATCCGTGTCCGATTCGAGTCGGACACGGATTCGTGGCCTCCGGGGGCGAATCCGTGCTTCATAGGTGCTATTCACCTGGATTTGGATTGTGAAAGGGGGAAGCCAGGTCCCATGGTTTAATTGGGTTGGTAATAAGCCAGGACTCCTCGCACAAGAAAATAACAAAATGAAAAAAAGAAATAAAAAAAGGAAAAAGAAAAAAGAAAAACAAAAGCTCCTTTATTTGGTAGAAGTCAAAAATTAAAGAACTCCTAACTGTGAGCTAAAAGTTAGTTTAGAAGGTATTATATGCAAATGTCTAGCCTTGTATGTTAGATGACATACGAAGTATGTATGACCTATCATTAATCTAAAATATAATTGGGTTATAATTTGAAGATATATGCTATTGAGCAAACTGTACTTCTGAATTGACTTTAGGAATTTAGGCTATTTTTTTCCTATAGTTAATGGATGCGACAAGTTTGCTTGAACTCTGCATCACTCCATGGTCTTGTCCAACATTTTCTTTTTTCATACCTAGTAAGCTATGAGGCTTTCTAACTCATTTTATTGACTTTGTATCAAATCATTGTACAAGGAATCAACAAATATCTGCAGCTTCTATCTTGCTACATTTTGTTGTTGACTATCATATATCCCCATAATTCTGTTCTGATCTTACTTCTGTTCCCCGTGTCTTAGTTCTTCCAATTTCTCATGTTTCAATTGTATCTTCTGCAAATCTGTGTAACTGCCTGAGTGATGCCACATCCATGCCTTGGAAAGAGATATTGCATGTATTTTCTGCTTTTAGGATTTCGAGGTTCTTGACTCTTGTTCTCAGCTGGGTCTAATGTCCGAGAAGATCTCCTCAAGCAACACTGCTTATCGAACTATCAGATGGCAACCTCATGAATGCCAGGTAGAAATGGAAACCTACTTTCAAGGACGTTGAATGGTAGCTATTTTTAGCTATTTTTATTTAAATGGAAACCCACTGCAAGAACAAAAAGGAACTGCAATCTGCACAGCGTAAAAGATGTGGATAGTTACTTAAAAAAACATTTGTAGAATGATGTTAATGAATAATGACAGTCAGGTCAAGGATCATTGTACATCCTCCTGAAAACTACTCCTGAAAACTGGTGGAATATGGATACAGTTATACTGCCATCAAAAGTTATTAAGGTCACTGAAGCAAAGTATTTATCAATCTCTAAATATATGGAAAATCTAATTACAATGCCATTTCTTTGAAATTTATTTACATTGATATGAGGGATTAAATTATCACAATACGCTATAACTACGGGTTCAAATTAGATGGTTGTAAGATTCTATTTGGCTTTTTCCTTCTTATCCATGTTCTTCTAAGTTCATAAAGTCAGAAAATCAATAACATCAGCCTCAGTTTCCTGTTAATGACTAACAAGGTGAATTATATCACAGGCTTCTTTCATGCCTGTTTTGGTATTAGCTGCAAGATTATGCCCTTCTGGCATGGAAGCAACTTTGTTTGCTACCCTGATGTCTATTTCAAATGGGGGAAGTGTAAGTGGTGGCCTGTTTGGTGCTGGACTAACTCAACTTCTTGGTGTCACCAAAGATAGTTTCAGCAACCTTGCTCTCTTAATTACTATCTGCAATCTTAGCTCATTGCTGCCTTTGCCCTTGCTGGGACTACTTCCTAGGGATGCTGCAGATACCAAAAACATGGACAGTGAGCTGACAAAGCTGAGTTAAGCTTTAGTCTCTGACTGGCATGAGAAATGAACGCACAAAGTAGAGCTAGAGTTTCAGCAACTGGACTTGATTCTGGGAATTCTTGGTCTCATTTCTTCCAGACAGAAGTTGGAATAACTGGTCGAGCTGATTTTTCATTTCAATGCACGACGATGACGGGAATACTTCTATAGCAGACAAAGTTCAATTTACTTCTCAGATAAATCGTGAGGTGGATTCTGTGCTATAACGGGTACACATGCATCATTACAATACACATTCTCTTGTATTAATTTATTGGTTAAATTTACCTCTAACTGTTAGAGAAACAGGTGATATTCTAACTGTTAGAGATGCAAATTTTGTAAGTATGTCAGATTTTTGTCCTTGTGTCTCATTTTTCTTTACTGCCGTTCAGACTTCCTCGTAAAATTACATGGTTCTTTTGTAAGTTGTACTGTTTCTCAAAAGGGGCAAAAAAGTTGTAGTCTTGTAGAATTAAAGAGGGAAGTTTGAAATGGACGTCTTATATGTACATGGACTCAGTTCTGTTTCCATATTCCTGTACTGTGTTGGTCTTCTGTTCTGGAACTAATATTCTCCTGAGAATCCAAATAATTTTATGCACTCAACCTTGCATGTTGGTTCTGGTCATTTACTGGTATCTGAACTCTAGAGCAATGTAATCTTTTGTTCAATGGAAACATGTCGTCTTTCATACATGTTCTTTAGGCAGCTCCGTATTTCTTTCACAGTATCCAGTGCTTTAAGTAGAAGTATGGCCAGTTTGGAAATTTTGTTCATATCAAGTTGGGAGTCTATGAGAAGCTGAGGTGTTCACCGGTCTATTCATTGAAGAAATGTTGAGCTCATTGCCCAAGAACTCGCTGGCATCCATTAACAACTCACTAGGTATGGAAAAGAACTACTCCGATTTCATCTTTGTAACATTACATATTTCTTGGAATAATTCTCTTGCAGTATTTTTTCTTAGCTATCCATGTCCATAATAATTTGCAGTTTATTTACGTCTCTGATGCATTTGTGGCAGCTAAGCTTTGGTATGCGCACCTTAAACTATTTGGGTCTCTGAGGTTCCAACGCATCGTAATAGACTCAGAATTAATGCTCCTAATTTAACATAAATTTTTTGTAGTACAGTGTTAAAATTCAGATTTTCTTTTCACTTTCTTACATTCATTGATATATAACTTATAGAGTTTGGTCTCTTGTCTTCTTTTTCTACTTCATTTTCCTTAATGCCCATCAACTTTGGAGTTGTCATTTCCTGCTTTCTCACTGCCAAAAGTGTTCAATGACATTCAGTAATATAGATATTATACTATGCAGTTGCAATTTCCTGTAACATAAAGAGGTTATTTTCCTAGTGAAAAGAGAATTTTAATGGTAGTGAAGTTTGTCTGCATCTTCATCATCAATCATTTCCATGTGTTGAGTCAAAGCTAGAACACTTAATGGGATTCTTGAGTTAGCATTCTTTAACAGCATATGCATGTATATTGTCTTGATTTGGAAAGATATCCTGGATCTCTTGATACCATTAGGTTATGTATTTCTTTGATTTAAAAAGATAAGCTGGAGCTTTAGCTATCAAATCTCACGCCTGACATGATATTTGCTGAATATCCTGTCAGTAAGTTTATATTAAAGTGTCACTTCTCATCTCGCATATAGTGTGCATATCTGTGGAAGAAAGTTGATGCATGGTAATATTTTCTACAGAATAATAATTCTGTAAACCAATTGTGTTTTTCTTCTTGTTGGTAATAGTTATTTGTCACTAAATTTCGATGTACAATGCGCGTAGTCAAAGAAGTTGGATAAAGTTGATGCATGGTAATATTTTCTACAGAATAATAATTCTGTAAACCAATTGTGTTTTTCTTATTGTTGGTAATAGTTATTTGTCACTAAATTTCAATGTACAATGCGCGTAGTCAAAGAAGTTGGATTCAGATGTCTGTAACTATGACCCTGGGTTATACTGTAGTCAACAATCTATTTGATGATGAATGGATAATTGGCTTATAACCCCAATGATTTAGGGGTGTTTGCGTGCGCGCACTTGGTCTAATTGGTTCAAGAATAGCAAGCTACCTATGTTGACTATGATGATTGAGGAATCAAATTCTTGCGGTGAAGGACTAAAGCTTTTGATTGTCTTTCTAGTTCTCTATATTTTTCCTCATTAGTTACAGCGATGAATGAGTGAGGAACTGGATTTGCAGTGATCTGAGTATTAGACTCATAGGTTATGGAGTCAAGTAGAAGGGCTTTTTGGCATTATACTGTGATGCATACTATGATTGAATGTAAATAAGGCTGGCAAATGATTGGAAGTGGGAAAGCAGTAAGTTAGTTGAAATGGGTTTGGTACACCACATTTGGTAGAACAAAAGCATGTGAGTGCATGTGGGTGACTCTGAATAATTAAGAGGAAGACATTGAAATTAATCAATATTTATGATGATGTGGAAGAAACCAAACAACAACCATGTGAGAAATCATTGAGATATGCACTACTGTTCTGAAGATGATACTCTGATAATGTAGAAGAACGCAGAATGCAACTGAGTCATGAGCTTAACAACCTATTAAAATAAAGAGAAACCTAAGAACAATGTAGGATGAGACAAAATAATAATTATTCCCTTTTGGTGGCTGAGAGTCCATAATGTTTCATGTCAGCAGTGACTAAAGAGTAGAAATCTTAGGGTTTTGCCTTCCATGTGGCAAAATTTAAACAAAACAAAAAGGTTCTTATCATTGTCCTTTAACTCCATGGAACTGATGTATGCAATTCTGGTAACTGACATTATATCATGTCTAATATCTTCATTACTATCTTAGCAGCCGATATTTACGACTTCATGTAGGTGATATATTGGGCTGAAAATATTGTATATTGACATGATTATCCTTTCTTGTTTAGTTTCATTTGGATTATGCAAGGAATCAGTGAAGTTGATTGGAATCTTTCTCATCTTATATTTAGCTTTGTCACTCTCTCTTTGCAGAAATGGCCATATTAAGACAATGAAGCTGAGAGCAGCCAAAATGAGAGGAAGTACAAGTTATGTGTCGATGATCACAGTTGACATAAGCGAAGAATTGCATGTGCTTGGTCGATATCATGTTTTTTGTTTACAGGCCTGAAGCCTAACAAGAAGATGACAGGGTGAGCCCCCTTGTGTTTGGATATGTCTCTGGTTTTCTCTTTCTGATGATTCAAAAGAGTTATGACTTTTTCCTATGTTCATATGTTCATTTGACTACTGACTATCTCGAAAGTTCAGGGATCAGGAGGCAGCTAAGATGGATACTTCATAGTGTACAGAAGTAGACATTTGAAAATATCAGTTCAACGCTTGATGGATATTTCACCTGCCATATAATTCTATCTGAAGATTCAAGCACTCAGGTATTAAAATTTCCATACTAGTGATAACTTCAGCATTTACATGATATATGGAGTTCGTTGCAGTAACGTTATTGACAAAGTTTTTCTAGGTCACTCCGTTCTTTTTTATTTACAAATGATTGCTCAATTAGAAAATTAGACGGCAACCCACAATGAAGGTCATTAGTCCAACCGCTTAATGAGTAGGTCAACTTGATTGTCTATAGGCATTATTATAGGCTGGTGGGTAATCTACATGCATGATTACAGTGGATTCGTAGGATCTATTCTTAGATTAGTGTAACATTAAAGCCTTGTTAAGAAAGGATTTAGATTTCTTCAATTCTGCTTTTGAAAATAACCGTATCCTTAATCATACTCGTGACTTGTTCCTAAAACTAATACCGCTCCCTCTATAAATTTTTGGTTATTCATATTTTTCACCCACTTGCTAGTATTAATGATCTCATGAAGATTACAATTAGGAAAGAAAAAGATAAACGCTGCATTGGAAGCATGTGTTCCGTCCAAGTGATCCAACTGTTTCCTTGTGATTTTAATTAAGAGTATTAATGCTATAGCGCTAAAAAAGTTGAGCAGATTGTGACTGCATTCATTCTGGTTACACAAAGATAAGTCATGGTCATCAGAGAAGACATTTCCATTCCAACTTAAACAAAATGTCCCCTGGTCATCAAAGAAGACTTTTCCATTCCAACTTAAACAAAATGTCCCCTTCTGTGGCCTAGAAAATTCTGCTTATCTTCCTATTTGTCTCTTAACAAAGTTTGTTATATTGATATGTGCGTTAGAATTTATCTCATAAATATGAAATAGGTTAATGTTCTTGTAAGAAAATGTGTTAGAATCTAAGCCATTTCTTTATCCATTTTTTTCTTAAAATGCAATCAGTCTCTTGAGGTATATTGCACCTTACTTAACCATTGACCCAAATCTAATCTGCTCGGATAATGGTATCATGATCTCTCAACATGGCTATAAACTAAAACGCACTTCCCTTGGGCTCGAAGAGCATCAAAGCCTACAAGCATTTTCTCCTTTTCTTTATTCAACCTATTCTAATCATTAGTATAGCCAAAGCTAACTGCAATGTCAACATAGCGCAAACTACCCATGACAATAAAAATAACAAATAAATGAGACAAACTGACACTTCAGCATAAAACTTCCAAAATCTTCAAACCCAACTAGTTTAAAAATACATATAAAGGGAGACCAGCCATGAGCCCTCTGCCCCCACCAAACTTGTCCAATATCCTACCCTTGAAACAAGGAGCAATTTATGGCTGATTCCTCTTAATCCCATATAAATCCTCATTGCCAGCTCTCTCCACTCTTGCACAATCCAAACCTCATCAAAATCAGCATCTATCTTGATCAATGGAGATTGAGTCTGTGAAGTGTAAGTGTTGTGGCTTGAGAGAGGACTGCACACAAGAGTATATAAGCGCAGTGAAGGCTAACTTTGATGGCAAGTGGCTTTGTGGGTTATGCGCAGAGGCAGTGAGGGATGAGGCCGTGAGGGGGAAGAGGAGCAAAGGGTTTATTGGGGTGGAGGATGCTGTAGGGGCACATATGTCATTTTGCCAGAACTCACGGTCGAATCCGGCCGTCCACGTGGCGGAGGGAATGAGGCAGATGCTCCGGCGGAGGTCCAGCGATGTGTCGGTGGGTTCGGGGTCGGCAGTTGTCAAGAAATTTGGGAAGTCCTTGAGTACACTCAAGTAGGTTGAGCTTTTGAGGTTCAACTAGTTAAAAGACTATGGTTTTGATGATGATGATGATGATGAATAAGGTTATTAGGAAGGTGATTAACTTGACTGAATTTGGTTTTTCCTCCAATTGTTGTTTATGTGATCTGAAGGGCTCTGACTTGTTGAATTGTTGTTTGTTTGATTGGAGATGATGGAGCTAATATGCATAAGCAATGTAGCTTGTTGTTGATTTCATTTTCGTTTCTGTATATTTTTTAGCGTCCTATACTTTGATTGATTAAATGTTTGAGATTAAGCAATTTCATTAACTTACGAAAAGGTGGGTATATGAATGGTATAATGCCCGGTCCATTAAGCAATAGGCTCTCATGTCCTCCACTCATAATAAAGGAGATTTGCGACTGCACTAACAATAGGGAAAAATTACACCCAAGTCTATGAAAACGCATCAAGGCTAAATCAATGGATCCTAAAAAAGCACGAAATTTATCTAGCTTTACTACTGATATGGCCTTCCAACATTTTCTAGTGAATATTGATGGGAAAAAAATAATAATAATAAAGAGCAAGCATAATCCGGAGCAGGGAAGGGACACCCTTTTTTTGGAAGCCTCATCCTCCGCTGAGTACGCATGGAAGGAATTCTTGATGTAGGTGGATGAAAATGACAAGTTTGTAGGACTCCAGATGAAAAAGACTCCAACACGAACCTAATTCAAAAGCAGGTTCCAACCACACAGACTTTGAGCCTGACCCGCTTATAACTCATCGCTTAGGAGTTTGGAGTTTAAAATGGTATCAGAGTAATGCAGGCTCGAACCTCACATTTCTAATGATGGACCGAAGAACAAAATCAAGAGAAATACATATCTATGTAAACATGATATTTAACATGATGGAGGCAAATAAGCAGTTAACATCAGTCCTGGAATAACTACAGACGCGCTGTGGAGATGCTCATTCTCCATTGACTGCACGCGCTACCAATTTTGCTCCCTACATACGTACCATAACAGCTAGGCTCCAAATTCTTACCCACATATACGCCAACCCATACGCACAAATTTTGTTGTCAGAGGATGTCGAGTTTTTTCCCCCTGCATAACCACCAAGAGAATTGCTTCGTCCTTGTAAACCAAGGGAGCCATCTTTCTCAGTTTAGGATCAAAATCATATATTCTAAGGGGTTGTTTGGTTCAATTTCCATAAAAAAGAGGAAAAAGAAAAGCATTCAAAATTTGATTTCATTGTATTTCTATAAAATTTATAGGAAAAATTTATAGAACTCAAAAAGTATCATATTTCTTATTGTTTGTTATTTTTTTGTTTGGATCAAAATATGAAAAAAAATTTTACTTTATAGAAAATATGTTGTTTTTTTTGTTGGATGTCACCTTAGGGCCTGTTCGTTTATTTCCTAAAAACCAAGAAATGGAAATGGAAAAGGTGGAAATCTCAAAATAATCCATTTCTTCAATTTTCATCCCTAAAACTCACCCACAACATCCAATAAAATATTATTTTCATCCCTAAAACTCACCCACAACATCCAATAAAATATTATTTTCATCCAACCACTAATCCACCACATCTAATAAAATATTATTTTCATCTAACCAATCATCCATCACATCTAATAAAATATTATTTTCATCCAAACATCACTCAACTCATCTCTTTTCATCATTTCAAATCACTCACATCATCGAATAAAATATTATAACAATTCACCTCATCTCATTAACATTTCATTTCTTTGTTTTCATTCCAAAAAGTTGTGAAAACATTTTTCTTAATCTTTCTTCACATCACCCAATAATACAATGACAACTCATCTCATCTCATTTCATTTCTTATTTTTAAGAATGAACCAAACAAAAGAAAACAACAAAACTACAGGAAATAGGTTTTTTATAATTCATTTCCTTATTTTTTTCGCCAACCGAACAACATCAAAACTAGTTTTCTTAAAAAATCACTCACATCATCCAATAATAATGTGACAACTCATCTCATCTCATCTCCATTTCTTTGATTTCCTTTTTTTTAGCCAACCAAACAATTCAAAAACCCATTTTTCTTAGAAATAGTTTTCTATTTCTTTGATTTCCCATTTTTTTAAGGCAAACGAACAGGCCCTTATAAAAGATAGCTTACTAATAATGCCCACAGGAAATCACATGGGAAGCGCTTATGTATTTAATTATTTTTTAATATATGTGTCAGATTTCTAGATGATTTCGTCCATTTTGAACGGAAATTAATTTCTATAAAATGGGGTATTTTTCTATAATTTATAGAAATTTTTCTGTAAATTTTTTAAAACCAAACACAGTTTATAAAAATCTCCAGCAAAATTTTATTTACAAAACTGACACTATCACTCATTTTCTATAAAGTTTTCTATAAAACCACTCAACCAAACATCCCCTAGTTCTAATAAAACGCGGACCGGACCAATCACGTGATCAATCCCCTTCGGATTGAAGACCACCCAACGCTAATTTGTCCTCTAATCCAGGCATATCACAGCACATATACAGAAGATTTCGCTAAATTATTTAGATCAGTTCGATATCATCCCACCTGTGCAACAATCCCACCTCTTGTGCCACAAGTCACTGTAGTTCCTCTTCAATCTCGTGCTTATCCGAATCAATTGTGTGCTCTGTTTGTATAGACTTACTCCTTAAGACAACCGCTCGGAGCTCAAAAGAACTTTTTCCTTCTCAAGTTAGCTCGGTTAAAGGGGAGAGACCTCCACGAAACTAGCAGAATCTTCAAAGGGAAAACCAATTCCTGCAATGTAATTCGCAACTCGAGTTACAAACTGTCGACCGCGTTAAACGTTTTCCTACTTGGAACTACAATTGATGTCGCGGACTTTCGCGCACTGCGTAGTCCTGTAATCCAAGAGAAGGGTGTATGCATTATAGAAAAACACCTCTAGCCCACCACAAGGCAGCGCACATAAGGACATGAGCCAGTATTTCAGAGCATCTCCAAAAGTGATCTTAGGTTTTCCCTATATTTGAGGAGCAAATCTCTCATCCTAAGAAATAGGGAGCCAAATAATGAATAGGTGCTCCAACAATGCTCCTTATCTCATATCCTAGACTAAATACAGGGAGTAGAAGGGGGAAAAAATTACTCCAACAATGCTCCCTATGTTAAGACTAAATATAGGAAGTCACTTTGTTATCCTAACTTAGTAACTTTAGAATACCAAATCATATTCCCTATATTTAGACTCCAACACAGGAAGCCTGTTGGAGCAACTTTTCCCACTGCTACTCCTAGTTTAGGACATGAGATAGAAAGACTGTCGAAGATGCTCTCAGAACTTTTTTCGACTTGGTCTGTTCAGAGTCTGAATGTCAATATGTGTATGTTAGTAGGGTGCAGAGATAAAAGTATTGAAATACAGACTTAAACTTCACTTCTAATATATTAAGCAAGGTACATCGGAACATGCTCTGCCGAGGATGAACTACACACACAAACACGCTACGCATTTTGAACATAATCACTGAACACACTTTTATTACAAATAGCAACAAATGTTATTGAAAAGAAACACTAAGTGCTTACACATCAGGAGCCCTCCAAGGATTGAAGAAGATCTTCAGAAGACCCATTTTTTACTCCTCCATAACCAGTACTGAGGAATTTCATTCGGCATCTCTAAAAGCATTCATAAATGTATTCAGTCTATAGAATTTGAGGCTCTAATATGGCTCCCGTGGCCTAGGGTTCGATTTGAGGCTGGGTTATACTAATTTAAAAAAAAAAAAAAACTATTATACCTTATTGAGACAATTTGAAACAATTTTATGAAATCTACAAGAAGAATTAGGTAAACCTAAATTCCCCTTTCCCAACCTTTTCCCTAAAAAAAACCAGGAAAAGTGGGAAATGGAAAATTACAGGTATAGATAATTCACGATGAGCTATAAACTATGGGATAGAGGTCTAGACACCAAATACAACAGAAGCCCTAAGTTACTTTCAAAAGCCCCTAAATACACAGCATAATCACAGGGAAACCCTAGAGATTGAGAATTCTCCTCAAATTCTCAGTAGCAGAAGCGGTATTAGCAAAGAAATCAGCAGAAGATGGGTCGACGGCTCGAGACTCCACAGCGCCGCTCTTTTGGGGGAGGGAGAACTTGGGGATGGGGAGCGAGCTCGGAGGAGGCGAGCTCGAGTACGCAGGGCCAGCCCAGAGCTCGGAGAAAGAGAGTTCGTCGGTAAAGGTGGGATTTTTAGGTGTTGGGCTGCTTTTAGCGGGGGATTTTGGGGGCAAAGAGTGAGGTGCTCTGCAATTGATCCTCCTTTTGCTGTGGTAGTGATGTCGATGAGCAACAGCTACGGAGGCCATCGAAATACTTGAGATTGGGAGATTAGGGTTCGCAATTGAGAGGAGAAGTTGGGGGAATTTAAGAGGAGGAAGAGGACATTGACGATGGTTCTTGGAGCTGGGGGACTTCAAAGGAATGACCTTTGGACTCGGGGTTATTAAAAAGTATTCACGCGTTGGCTGCCAACTTTGACCGGCGATTATTTCTTTAGGTGAGGTTTTACAAAACCGCCCCCCATTTTGTTTGGAATGTTATCAGATAACCCCCTTTACTTTTCAAAATATCTCAAAGTTCCCCTTTAAGTTTTGTCAGAAAACATCCTGAACTGACGCCGTTAGGCTGTTTTCTGAACTTAAAGGGGTTATCTCGAAAAACGCGGCTGGTTGGCTATTGTGGATAGCAGATTAGCAGGCCGACTCCAGACGTAATAATAGTTAGGCCCAAAATACGCGGACATGTTTTAGGTTCGAATCTTTTTTTTTTCCTCCCCTTTCAGCAACTTTTTATCTTTATTTTAGGGCCTGTTTGGATAATGGAAGTGTTAGAAGTAAGAAGTAGGTTATAGAAGTAATTTTCAAAGCTATGAAGTAGGAAGTAGTGAAAATAATATTTTTGTTGTTTGTTTCATATATTTTTAGAAGTAATGGAAGTAGAACTTCTTCCTCTTCATTTACTTTTTTTGTTTGGATAACATTTGGAAATATTATTAGGAAGTAATTTTATCAATGAAAAGTTGTTAGAAGTAACTAATAAAGGAAATATTAATAAAAAAATTATTTATGCCATAATTAATATGTATTTCAACTACTTCCGAGCTACTTCTGAGTATTGAGGATTGGAAAAATATTTTGGAAGTAAGAATAACACGTAGGCGCCACATAAGCATTTAGAAAAGTATTGGAAATAAGTTTTTCAGATAACCAAACACACTTTTTTGCTTGGAAGTAACAGAAGTAGCCTCTACTTCTTTTACTTCAGCTACTTCACAATTACTTTCATGCAAATAAACAGGCCCTAAACGAAAATGTTACACATGTGATGATGACAAGCAGACAACAAGATGTGCCGTTAATCATTTCTGAATCGCAAAACCCAACCGATGAAACACGTACTCATCCTTACTGAATCGCGAAACACTTTCAGCAAATTTTTTCCTCCCCTTTTTTTTCTGTTTTCTGTTTTTATTCCTCCCAGTGGATGATGGGGGATGCATTTCGCCAAGTTTTTTTAATCATCTTTCAATACGTTGACATTTATCATTTATGTACCTATAACATATATAAATCGCTTAAGTAAAACATGATAGAGTATTTCAACTTGATTCTCTTACGGTTAGTTTTGGAGTAAAATTTAGGGGGAAACAAATTGGAGGATAAATTAGCTATTAATATATCTGTGGCGGTAGAATTAAGAATTGTTTTAGTTTGGATATATTCCAGACAATTGCGATTCAAGTTAAAACCATTTGTAATATATGACAACTTGAAATAAATTACTAATTTTAGGGGGGACTTGCACGTACACTCCTCGAATCTTTCATATTTGCAAATTTTATCCCCGAATCTTGATATTTGCAAGATTACCCCTCAATTCCCTTCCGCTGAACCCCTCCTATTTGATGATTTTAGTTTTTAGATGGGAAAATGTTGCAAACCTATTGGAAACTTCGACATTCGCTGATTAGAAACCGAAATTGTTAAGTTGAGGGGTAAAAAGATTCAATATGCGAGCTTTGAAGGGTAATTTTGCATATTACCGATACTGAGGGATAAATTTACGAATACGGAAAGATTGCTAGGTATATATTAGGAGACATTTTCCTTTATGGTGTGTTTGGGAGTTTACTTAGGGAAGGGAATGAAGGGGAAGGAAGGAGAATTTTTCCCCTTCCTTCCCTTCCCCTCCATTACACCCCAATTTGGGGTGTAAGAATTTGGGCCAAATTTTCCCTCCATTCCCCTCCTCTATCCTCCAAAATAAAACTCCCAAACAAGGTTAAAATGAAATTTCCCTTCCCTTCCCCCTCTCTACCCTCCATCCAAACAGGCCATTAATGTAGCGAAACATGCATGGTGAGGCCCAATTAGTAATAAGCCCAAAACAACGGGAAGCATACTGAGTAGGAAGGCCATACGAGCCTGCAAATGAATTCTCGGGCCCATTTAGGGCCTTAAGCAGCTCCGCCCAAGCCCACACCAAACAAATGAGCAGAGTTTTGAAGACCGAAGAAGAGCTAGGAGTCGAGCAGCAGCATTGCTGTACATTTTCGAAAGTATGCAGCGGCTCCCCCTTACAAGATTTTCCTCTTTTTCGCTGAGAAATTCTCTCTCCCAATCCTCGAAATCTGTAAGCTTACCTTTATTAAATATACCAGCGAAGATCGAGGAGCTAGGGTTTATTTGACAATTTACAAACTTAACTGATAAAATTTTTTGAATTTCTTTTGATTTATTGTTAGCTGTTGATTGGAAGAAGTGATGCTAGAAATTCTCTCTTGCGCCGCTTCTCTTCATTCGGTGAAAGAGGTAAACATTCAAACTTTGTGATTGACTGTGTGAATTTTGATTCAATTGGTATTTTACTTAGATCCTTGTGCTGCGGTTTCATGCAAACTCTGTACGGACTTCTAAATTTCATTATTCAATCAGATGAAACGAGAAAAGGTAGGAACTATTTTTTTTTAATTTAAATTTAGACCTACACTTTTGTAAAACACGAGGGTTCAGAATTGCAATCTTTTAGGGAAACCATGTTCAGTTGCTAATGTTCTTTGTAAGTCTGTTGAAGTAATACATTCGGCCAGGGGCGGATCCAGAAGCGCTGATCAATGGGGGCAAGACTACAAATGTACAAATATAAATACCACGTGATATTTTTTATGTAAGTATCAATGACACTAAAACGAAATAAGCATATGTATGTAGTAGCAAAATGTAGTCAATAGAAAAACCTTAGTGCCATTTTGTACAATTGTTACCGCCGTCTTTTCGTATATTTTGATAATGTTGTATGATTTTCTCATTGTCTATGCTATCAACTCTTTCAATATAAGTGACCAAACAATTCATCCAGTCATCTCCCATGTAGTTCCGCATGGAACTATTCGATTCTTCACTGTGTTCATTGCAGAAAAAATTCTTTCCACAGTGCAGTAGCAACTGGTAAGATCAAAGATAGCTCCACAAAAAGATACACCAAAGAATATACACTATTAGGATTTAACACTTTGAGAACAGTTCGTAGTATTTTACCTGAGGCAGAGCGGAGGGATTTCAGAATTGGGGAATTAATTGGATTTAGATTTTTATGAAGGATTTTCGGTAAGCAGATCGAGTTTGGCTCATTTGGGTGTTTATTTTGAACAACCTTGGGGGCTTGGGGACAATGGGTCAAATATGAGGGGTCAGATTGCTTAGTTTCCATTTTAATTGTTAGGGGTCTGTGGGGGCAATTCCCCCCACTGCCCCCATCATAGATCTGCCATTGCATTTGGCAAGTGATAACTTTGCATTTTGTTTCAACGACTTTTACTTTTTCTTAAAGGTTAGAATCTGATGTTGAAGTAGAACTTTTTACGTCAAATATGGGGGTCAATATCGTCTTTTATTACGTTCATATGTAGTCACTACATATATATTCATCAATCAAATTTTTCAATAGAGGTTTTTGAAGGTTTGTCATGACTCTAGGACTTGTAAACCCGCGCCTGGTTCTTGACGGGAGGAGGAGATGATTGTAGTCATTTTATTTAGGAGGATCTTATTCAAAATTAGAGGAGAAAACAAATTTACCTAGTTTAATAGTGATTAAGGCAATGTTGATTTTTTTTATATAGAATTCACTTCAATTTGTATATTCTACAGAAGCACTTGAGGAAGATGTTGAGAAGAAAGCTGGATGGTTATTGAAACTTATTTTCGTGGGAACTTTTGGAGTTGTTGGCTACCAGTTCTTTCCTTACATGGGTATGTTATTCATTAAATTGAATACTATTTGCACACCATCTTTTGGAGCCTCAAGCACAGTAAAATAACTCAAAATTATTTAAAGGTCCTATCGGTATCATTTATGCATTATCTTACTACCAGGTGATAATCTGCTGCAACAATCGATCTCGCTTTTACACGTGAAGGATCCCTTGTTCAAAAGAATGGGAGCATCCAGATTATCCCGCTATGCAATTGATGGTATCCTGATACTTTATGTGCATTTTATTTACAATAATGTTTTTCGCTTACGAATATCATCCCTCTGAGACTTGAGAAGTAGTTAGTCACAGATTTTATGCTATTTTACCATTTTCTAGATTGAAGTACTACATTTTCTCTTATAATGTTCACAGGGATGTGTACTCTGTAGGTTCAGAGAGGTGTAATAGCATTGCTTGATTATAAAGTGATTAGTGACCCATTGCCTAAATCATTGTGATCAAATTTCTACCTTCAACTGTATAATTGATTTTTAGTTTAAGAGTTCAGGTACTCTTCTTTATCACTTCATTTTCATACTGATAATGTCAAAGCTATACATTTGAAACGTCGACTTTTGCCAGTTATGATCCTTAAGGTGTTTAATCACTGATATAGCTCAACGTGGTAGTATGCCTTTTCTTTGAGCTTATTAATTTTTATTTTTATTTTTTGTAAAGTGTTGAGTGATTTAAAAGAAATATAATATGATTTTCAGTGCTATTACTACTAAGAATAATGCTAAATATTGTTTAGCACGACACTTGTTCTTTCTTCCTTACTTCCTATATCTCTTTACTTGGCATTTGTTTTTCACAACTGTGTTACTCCTATTATTAATCGAACCCTTTGCTTTACGTTTCTAAGGTTAGCTCCACAATAAATTGTATTGTATTTTATTGTACTGCAGAAGTGCCATAACTGATTTCTCTTCTCTTTGCTGCTTTTTTTTTCTTTGACTAGAAGTAGACCATTTACTTACTTGAAATAATGGAGCTAGCTGGTTTTTTATTGGTAACCTGCTCTTTTTCAATTCAGTTTATGTTTGGAAAAGGTATAAATCACCTTATTGACTTTTATTTATATTATTGTGTGTTCAAGCACAATTACTTAAAGGAACATTTTAGCTTCTTCTTTCGAAATATGATTTTATTTAATAGTTTCGAATATCTTAAGATGAACCTAGGCATGTCCGAACGGGCCCAGATTTCCGGGTCTGGGCTAGGAAAAATGCCTAGCCTGGACGTAGATCCGGGGTGCCCGGGCCGGGCCCGGGTTCGGGCCAAACCAAGCCGGCCCAGATTTTTTAATATTTTTTATTTGATTTTTTTGCAAAAATTGCTAAAAATTTAGATTAATCTTATTATACTTATATAACTATGTATTAGTATATAGCTAAATATTATATATACATATATTATATGGGAGTATATTGTATATACTTATAACTTGAGAGAGAGAGAATCACATAAGTAGATATTGCTTACTTATAAATACGTATTATGTAGTATGTATTTGTTACATATTTATGTTATGCTTATTTAAGTATAGTCATATACTTTACTTATATATAATTCAAAACCGAACCGAACCGTTGCAAATCGGTTCGGTGCGGTTCGGTTCGGTTTGTTCGGTTCTAACCTACATCAAGTATAACATTCAAAGGCATAAATATTGCTTGTCCCAAAAGTTTATATCCAAGCATCCAAGCAAATAAACAGAGCAGCAAATGAAATAAGCATCAATTGAATATAGAAGCAAGTGGGAACATACAACTGAGGTATCAAAAAATACATTGTCAACAGGAATCACAGGAATACACTTCGGTACAAAATGTGATTTACAGCACTTCTAACTTGAGGCAACATACAACTGAGGTATCAAAAATACAGTCAACAGGAATCACAGAGAAGACATCAGTACATCAACAACAGGAATGTAGAGTTAAAGTTTACATACTCATACTAACATGAAAACTGTAAATAGAAGAGAACAATCACAGAACGAGGTACAAAATGTAAATCACGGCCAAAGTGTAAATCACAGAACGAGGTACAACATGTCTGCAACCGTGCCGATGAAGCACCATGAGCCGAGATCCTGCAGTCAAGTACAAAATATAAATCACAATGTTGTTCTTAAAGTTAATATAAATTGACAAAATGTAGTCAGTTACAAACATGGAGCTTTCTAATTCAACATATTTGATTTTAATGTTATATAAATTGCCAAAATGTGCCAACATATATCACAGATTCACGGCCAAAGTGCAGTTTATGAATTCAAGTGTGTCTCCATAATATTACCATATGCTTCACTATGACTTCCTAATGACATATACAGTTCGTAAAACGATGCAGTTCAATTCATGATATATTTCACATAAACTGCTAAAAAAATGCTACATATGGTATAGACAATACAACACCAATAATAAAACAAATAATAATTTACACTAGCTAGCTAACTGTTATTTTCAATTTATAATTAAGCATAATGATCTTCAAACTTTCCAAACAAGTTTTGACGATTCACTTAAGCTTGAGCTATTGAATCGAAAGAATTATCATCCCCATGTACGAAATATAAAATACAAAGATTAATAGAAGATTAATAAGTAAAGTAAGAACTTCATATCCATATATGGCACCAAATCCATAAGAACTTCAGATCCTGCAGTCAAGCACACTAATATGCATAAATCAAACTATTGTAAACATGTATGTAAGCATTATAATCATGGTTGAACCAAATTGAACCAAATCATGGCTGAACCAAAGTGAGATATGCACACAACACTGACAACATGCACACAACATTGACAACAGAGCATGATAGGTTTGCATGACTGAACCAAATTGAGATATGCACTGAAAGCAAACTAAAGTGAACCAAATCATGGCTGAACTAAAGCAAACTATTTTTTTGAGAAAAAACTAAAGCAAACTATTGTAAACTAAAGTGAGATATGCACACAACACAACAACAAAAACACAGATCAAAACTGAAAGCAAACTACACCACATGTTAAGAATTAGGCAGTGAATTAAGAATTAACTACTTTGTACAGTGAATTAAGAATTAACTGAAAGCAAACTACACCAAGTTTCAACTGAGCAAATAGTTCAACAAAAGTAATGCTAATGACAGCTTTGTACAGTGAATTAGGCAGGAGCAAACGAACGCAACAAACCATATTCAACAACTTCAACACTGAGGAAAGAATAAAACTTTCATCAAGCACTTCATAGCATACATTCCCTATATCATCTTCTTGTTGTTGCTGACTTCCAAAGGGGAAACCACATTGTAGACTTTTGAGGCAATTATGATTAGCAAGTTTCAATCAAAAAAAAAAAAAAAAATCCACAACAAAAACGAAAATAATCAAATCCATAGATGAATCGTTCGAATTGGGATCTTTGTTCTGATTAAAAGAGTTTGATTCATGATTTTGAGATCCATTATCACTACAGCATCAGGATAAAAACGAAAAATAGATTAGATCCATTACCACTACCAGCATCATGGTTTCGAGATCCACAAGAAAAACTAAAAGACTGCGGAATAATAGATTAGATCCTGAGCAAAAGAAAAAAAGAGATCACTGAGAGTTATACCTTGGCCTCGGCGACGGTGACTGGTGTGGGTGTCCCCCCCAAAGCCGGAGGTACATCTGGAGCCTGATCCTGAGGCGGAGTTAGATCCATGAAGTATTGAAGACTGTGGCTGAGGAGAGTGAGAGAGGCGGGCGGACCGTGGCTGAGGAGAGTGAGAGAGAGTGAGAGAGGCGGCGGCTGGGATTGAGGAGAGTGGACTCGTGGCCCTGAGGAGAGTGAGAGAGTGCGAGAGAGAGGGATTGAGGCTGAGGGATTTGGGATGAGTAGCGGCGGCTGGGGGATTTGGGAATGAGAGAGGAAACGAAGAGCTAGGGTTGAGAGACTTGAGGGTTTGGGAATTGGGACGGGTCGGGTAAACGCGAACGGGTTTGAAAGTTTTGGGAATATATTCGGTCGGTTCGGGTCGGGTCGGTTTGAAAAGTTGTCAACCCGACCCGAACCGCCTTATTCATAAAACCGCTTTTTTCGGGTCGGTTCGGATCGGTTCGGTCGGTTTTTTCGGTTTGAACCGAACCATGCAACCCGACCCGAACCGCCTTATTCTTAAAACCGCCTTTTTCGGGTCGGTTCGGGTCGGTTCGGTCGGTTTTTTCGGTTTGAACCGAACCATGCTCAGCCCTACTTGGTAGTGAGCAGAGCCGGTCCTGGGTTTTCTAAGGCCCAGGGCAAATTTTCTCAAGTGTGCCCCTTTATACAAATTAAACAAATAAATAAATAAATTATCAATTAATTAATTTTATTAAAATTATAAGATTTTACACAAGACAAGGGAAAACACATTGGGGCCTCATTAAAACCTTGGTTGGGGAAAACCCAATGGGACAAAACCCCAAACGAAGAAAAAAGAGTACCCCGGATTGTAAACATTGCATTAAAAAACGAAAACTACATATTTGAGTCTACATGCTTCCTCCCAAATCTCCATAAGCATTTCTTGATTTGATCAATCTTCTTTTCATCCTCCGCAATTAATCGAAGCAAATAATCATCACATGTACCTACAAAATAAAAATATCAATGAAATCTCAACTACAAAAATTATTTAAAATGTCTTCTTGTTGCACTTTTAGATGCAAAATCATCAATTATACTATCATATTTAATGTTCTCTAACATATCATTTTCAATGCATAATATCGCTAATCCATTTAGCCTATCTTGAGTCATGGTGGTCCGCAAGTAAGATTTCAATAATTTTAATTTAGAAAAGCTTCTTTCAGCAGATGCCACAGTCACAGGTATAGTCAATAATATCCTATAAGCAATCATTACATTAGGAAACATATCCACACTCTTTACAAACTCAAGAATTTTAATGGATGTCCATGGTTTATCTGTTTCATATGCTTCTTTTGGTAACATCACTTGCAACACCTGTAACTCTGAAAATAAGTCTCTTGCATCAACATCGGAAACATCACCATGTTTTAAAGCATTTTCAAGATTCACATAGAAACTTTTTAATTCATTATCATCAAACGAAGTCAATTTTGCAGCATCAAATAAGAACCCAAAAATAGATTCAAAACAATGCAATTGTTCAAACCTACTCTTCAATTCACCAAGAGCAATATCCACTATAACAAGAAAATAATCAGTTCTAAATGATTCTTCAGCTGATTGTTGTTCCCTATCACTATTGGAAACCTCATCAAAATGTCTTTTTTTACAAATTTGACGTTTTTTTGGAAATATAGGCTCAATTCCCATATCAAGGGAAATTTTTTTAGCATCAATCATGGCAGAAGCAAACCCATTTATTCTATAGTTTTTAAAAAATAACACAAGTCCTTCTAATTGTCTTACAGCAGCATCAAGACGCATGTCTTCAGATTGTAATTTTTTACTAACTAAGTTAATCTTATGCAAAATGTCATGCCAAATAACCAAACTTAATATAAATTCAAAACTTGAAAGCTCTCCTGATGCTAAACTTTGAGCATCCCTACTCAATTTGGCATCTTCACTAATTTTTGTTAATTTAAATAAAGCTTCCCTAATTTGGGAAGCTTGAGATTTTATTGCTTTGACACTTTTAATGTGACTTTCCCAACGTGTAGTTGACAATGATTTCAAAGTCAAACCATCTATGTAATCAAGTAACACATTCCATCGCTTTGTTGAATTAGAGAATACCGTATATATGCATTGACATGCTCCAAAAAAAGATTTTGCTTTAACACATGAGTTGGCCATATTACAAACTATTAAGTTGAGACAATGAGAACCACATGGCATGTAAAATGCTCTAGGATTTATATCAAGTAATCTTTTTTGTACACCTAGATTTTTTCCTTTCATATTAGAGCCATTATCATAACCTTGTCCCCTCACATCATCAATATTAAGTGTAAGGGACTCAATTACATTTTGCAATTCATTAAAAAGTCCTAATCCAGATGTATCTTCCACATTCAGAAACTCTAAAAAGTACTCTTCTATATTTATTGGAGTACTTGAAACATCTACACACCTCAATATTAAAGTCATTTGTTCTTTGTGACTTGCATCAGGAGTACAATCAAGAATGACAGAAAAATATTTAGCTATTTTTATTTTTTCAATGATTGCATGTTTAACATTTAATGCTAAAATAGCTATAAACTCATTTTGAATTTTATGGCTAAGATAATGATAATGAATCTTCTTATCTTGAATGAGTCGAAAATGGTGTTGCATTACTAGATCAAACTCTGCAATCATTTCAAGCAGGCCTAAAAAGTTACCATTACCATCTTCATAAATTTTTTCATTTGTTCCACGAAAAGCCAAATTATGTATAGCAAGACATTTCACAACAACAATGATTCTGACAATAACATTTTTTCAGTGTAGTTTATCTTTCTTGATTAGCTCTTGTAATTCTGTATCAATTGTTTGATTTGTTTTCAATCTGATTTGCAATTCAACACAAGACCTCAAGTTAGTGAGGTGTCAAATACTGCTTTCATGTTGTTTAAGCTTCTCACCAAGATGGTTTCAATCTCTAATTCCTTCACTAGTTAACTGACTTCTAGAATTCATTGTTTTAAACAACTTACAACAGAAACAAAACACTTTATCCAACTCCTTTGAGTACACTAGCCATTTTCGATCCTTAGTTTCCCCATTTGGTAACGTACGAAGATAATAATTTGAAGAAAAATGTCTATTGTGTTCGTCCATGGGGAATTTGAGATTAGTTTCTCTTAGGGGACCTTTTTCTACAAGTAAATCTCTCATTTTTGCATCAAGATTATCCCAAACTCGTGGATCATAAATGTTCAAATCAAATCTTGTTTCGGGACATTCATTTTCATGGCAAGCTTCATCAATATTTTCATTTTCATCAAGGAAAGGTTCATCACTATTTTCATTTTCATGGCAAGGTTCATCAATATTTTCATTTTCATCAAGGAAAGGTCCATCACTATTTTTATTTTCATCTAGATCACCAATTTCTTCATTCACATCATTCTCATTTTCTACTAATTCTTCCATTTGAATTGGGTGTTCATATTCATTTGGTAAATCATCTTCATCTAAATTTTCAAGTGAAGCATTGGTTTGTTTAACAAAATATTTATTCAAAGATCCTCTTAAACTTTGAGCAATTTCATCATTTTTTCTTTTTTTGTCTCTTGAGATTTCCGGAAAGTTGTTTCTTAGGAAATATTTTTTAATTTTTATAATAAACACTTAACAAAGAACAAAGAACAAAGAACAATAAAACCTGGATTTTGAGCATAAGTTCTTCCACTTGAAACTTCCAATTATAAAGATCAAGAATCCCAGCCAATGTTTCTGTTGAATCAAATAATAAATAAGAAAAAGTTAAAACGATATGTATTACAATTTACAAAATTTATACATCTAATCTAAATTCTATATGTTATCTTAAAAAAATACCTTCAAAGAAAGTCTTTTCAACAAACAATTCTTGAGAGGCCTCGGCCTTGAGCTCCTGTGAGAACTGGCGGAGGCGGTGAGACTCTCACCGTGAGAGCAGAGCTGCTGGCCTTATTGTTCTTGAGAGGCTCCTGTCCCGTTGTTTTCACAAATCTTGAAAAAATCCTCCATGTTAAAAGTAGACAAAAACTGTAGCAAAGTGCTATTACACGTCATCTTTGTCATACTAGATAGATGCTATGCATATCAAAATCAGAAGACAGAGCCGACCTAGGCCCTAGTGCTATCATGAGTTGTAAGGCCCTAGTGAAAACTTGCTCACCCAGTCACCCTAGGCCCTAGTGCCCCCCTCAGCTATGGGCCCCGGGCTGTAGCCCTGGTGGCCCTAGGTTAAGGCCGACCCTGGTAGTGAGGTGTCATAATTCCCTCCACTCATTCAAATGGTTGCATATCCCTATACATTCCTCAATTCATGTGAATGTGGTCTCCTATTTGAATGAGTGAAGGGGATTGAGTCACCTCACTACCAAGCACAAAATTTATGCTTGGTACCAAGCATACCCATATTTCTCTCTCTCTCTCTCTCTCTCTCTCTCTCTCTATATATATATATATATATATATATATATATATATATATATATATATATATATACATACTATATGCAATATACTTATATATAATTA